TTGATTTGTTTTGTTTTTGTTTGAGTGAGACAGCCCTGGCTGTCCTAGAACTGGCTGTGTAGACCAGACTAGTCTTGAACTCATAGATATCTGCCTGCCTCTTCCTCCCGAGTCCTGGGATTAAAGACATGCCTACCATACTCCGCCCCAGACATCTGAATTGTTTATAAACCTTAGGCACATCGTAGCCAGGCAAGGATGACAGTTCCTCCTTTTATCCCTTGGGTGGTCTGGACTGAGATGGGTGAAACACAGCTGGGAAGCAGTGGAGTTGAGGCTGGGTTGCCATACCCTGATGAAACCTCAGTGGGCATCTCAGGTCCACACAGTGTGATGCGCAAGGCCAGCCTGGGTACAGATGGGGATGCCTACATTTTCCAGGGCTTATGTCTGCGTAGCCTGAATGTGCTGAGTCCCCAGGGCCAGTATCTCAAATCACACAGTTTAAAGCAAATGATACATACCCTCCCAGGACTAGAGGCCAGAAGTCTGAGATCTAGGTATCCGCAAGGTGGCGCTGGTGTTCCCTCTGTAGGCCCAGGATGAACTCCGCCTGGCCCCTTCCTAGCTCTGGTGTTGTTGGTAGTCTTTGGCTTATAGACTAGGGTCTGCTTGCTGCGTCTCGTCATCTGGTCCTTCCCCATATCTGTGTGTCCCTGTGTCCTACTCCATTCATGTCAGGTCTTTGCGCCCAGAGCCCTTCTGCCTGAAGTTTGACATCTTTATCTTGACCATGCACAAAGACTAGAGAAGTCTCTTACTTGCAGGGCCGAAGTTCGAGCCTTTGTCATATCTTTTTAGGGGATTCAATCCAACCCACACCACCATCTTTGCCTGTGGTGTGCAGCAGCGTTCACAGGTATACAGGCACAGTCTGGGCTGGCTCAGGGTGCTGACCAGTGACCCCTTGTCCACTGTCCCTGCTCCCCTCTCCTACATGCCTTCCAACTCTGCAGAAGAACTAGGGTAGTGGCATTCCACAATGCATGGGTGGCCCCCCGCCCTGAGGCTAAGCCTCATCTAACTCATCTAGCCTGAGCTTTTCCACTGTTGCTGACCCACAGGCTTCATTCAGTATTTGGCTCGCCCCACCCCTGACCACAGATAGATTGGTTTTGTTATGTGGTCATGGGTTTAGACCCTGCAGTTGTTGCCGTGAGAGCCCACCTCCAGTAAGGGTTCCTGGGCTAGATCAACACTACCTGGAGACAGATGGCTCCCAGGACAAGTGGATGGGATTGGCCGCAGGCCCTGCTGCTCTTCATGGTCAGGACTAGAGGTAATATGGACATAGAGCACAATCGAGGAAGAGCTTAGGCCTTCTTAGGGACACACATTGGTCCTGAGCCCACAGCTAGAGAGACCGTTGTGCTGGTATGGAGTAGGTACGGTAGGCATGCTCTTGAGGGAGGTGGTCCTGGGGCAGGAGGTGTCTCAATCTTACTAGGACCTTTCTCTGCAGAGGAGCTTGGTTTTGGTGGATGGAGACTCTTGGCACTCTGAGGTAGCTCTGCCTCAGGCAAACCCCTGGAACCGTGCTGTAAGACAGTAGTATGGACCCTGCCCCCCTGCTGCCCTTGTTTGGAGAGCTTGGCAGGGCCCTGGCCTGGGTAAGAGGATCTTGGGGGTAGAGGTGGCTCTGTAATGGTGCCCAGAACAGGACTGGAGGGACTGGGCCGTATCCCTACACTTGTGAGCACCCCTGTGCTTTAAAAGCAGAGGCAGTGATGGCGGAAGGCTGTGGCTTTCTACGAGGTAGATTCTTTTTAAGCCCATTATTCCTCAGAGCCCTGGTTGGTCCTCCTTCCCTGGTCTTCCCACTCCAGTTGCCTCACCATCCCCTGTTCCCAGGAAGAGCATCCATCACAGACTTGCACAGATGAGGTCTCAGGGATCGGACCTGATACCCACCCTAGGCCACGCAGCTGAGTGGCCCGAGCCAAGATGCTACCCCAGACTTCTAACTGGTCCATGGAGAGCTCCTACATCTTTGCCTGTGGAGGGAGTACCGTCTTCCCATCACCAACTGAAAGTCATGCTAATCTCTCCCCCAGGGGGGGCTTTTGAGGCTCCAAGGAAGCGGTGGACATGAAAATGACATACGAATTGTAAATTGCCCGCAGACATTAGTGTCTGTTACTGTGGTAACCACCCGGCCTCGGTGGACCTCAATTGCTCTGGATAGTGAGGCTATGTCAGCATTTTAATTTAATTGCATTATTTTCCCATCATAAAAATAACGAGCGTTATATATACACCCAAACTCATCAAATTGTCTACATTAAAGATGCCGATTTTGATGTATTGATTACATGCTAATAAAGTTATTAAAATAATGTAGCTGCATCATGGAGCATCTACAAAAGCAGGAAGGGGATTGTGCCATCCTGTGTAAAGCTCTGTTGTTATTCTGGGAAAATCCAACCCCCACCTCAGCTTATTTGCTTATTTAAGACAAGGCTGTGATCACTGGTCTATATAATTAAGACATTTTCTATACAAGTTTATATTCTGCTCTTTCCCCCTTAGGGAGTTTAATGTAAAGCAGCAAGAGCCACTGGGAGCCCAGTTCTGTAGGGTTGAGGCCAGCCCACAGTGTTCCTGGACCAGGGCAGGTGCTGAATGGAGGGTGGAGTTGGTGGCCAGGACTTTTAGTGTGTGTAGCAGGCTCTTGCCTGGTCCCCTCTATTTGAGTGTAAAGGGGTATTTATCATCCTGTGTTTATGCCCTAATTTGTTGCTACCAAAGCTGGCATTTACTACAGCTCAGAGAGAGGCCCAGTGTGAGTCAGGGGCTCCCTCTGGAGGGCATACTTTACAGCTGGGGGCACAGCTCAATGATGGGTCCTATCTCGGCATCCTCAAAGAAAAGTGTGTATCGAGTAGATACACACACTATACCAGACAAGGGACCACTGAGGCTTTGAAGTACATCTCAGGGCTCTGCTCTCATGGAGCCAGGCACCAGACACAGAGAAGGAACACAGCACACAGCTCCGGCCAGGAGAAGGGGGAGCAGGCTGCTGTAGAATGGGGTCAAGGTGTTGGTAAGAGGTTCAACAAGGTGGCCATGATGGACCACTGAGCAGGTTGCCTGTGTGCAAGAGGAGAAGAAAGTCTCTAGACTAGGCTGTACCGGTATCAAAGGAGGACACCCAGGCCCCATGTCCAGACTGGGTGTGACGTCAACTGGGATGCAAAGACTCCTGCGTCGGGCATGGAATGATGGAGAGGCAGAATAGGAGAGGGCTGCTTTAGAGGGTGGTCTGTCACCACAGTTTTCACACATCCACAGAGAGCCGAGTTTGAGCTTGTCGGTGGCCTGTTCCAGGATGGAGTTGGCCAGCAACTCTGTTGCACCTGCTCCTGTGGGGACTGGTGGACTGGCCTGGGCAGGTCCCTCTGCTGGCAAAAGCAGAGGCAACAGGATACAGCTGTTTGTAAGCCCCTTCTGGGCCCGGCTTACAGCTTGGCAACTCGTCTCATAGGCCTAAGCAAATCACAGGCCCCAGCCCAGAGTCCAGGGCAGCTGGGGGTTTACCGTCCAGGTGGGCACATGGGAGTTCCAGGGAAGGGAGCAGGTGCAGGGGAAGGGAAGGTCTGGGGTCCTGGTGTGCACAATTACGGATCCCCTGTTCTGACTGTGGTATACAAAGTTGCTGGAAGCCCTGGGCAGGGAAGTGACACATCATAGTGTCAGTCATGGTGTTGCTGGGCTCCTCCTATTGATTCCTGGGGCACAGTGAGATAGAAAACCATTTAGGAGGGGCCCAGGCTCTCCTCTGAAGGACAAGCGTAGTTGTCATTTTCTTTGGGCCACCAACCAGTTCCCAAATAAAGACACAGAGACTTATTACTAGTTATGAATGCTTAGCCTTAGCTTAGACTTGTTCCAATAGCTCTCTTTTAAGTTAATTTAACCTGTTTCTATTCATCTATGGCCACCAGGGGATAGCCTTCCCATGCATGGCCCTAGCCCTGTATCTGATTGTCTTGGATGTTCAGGCCAGTTTTGCTGTGACTCATAGAGTCTGAAAAAGTTAGGAATAGACTGGGTGTTGCCCTCATTCCCAGATACTGAGACTGGAGTCTGGGTCGAGCACTGTGGGCCCTGTCTAGACACCTGCCCACATAGGCAGGTCAGACACTCCAGTTACTGGGGCAACTCCATGAGGAAGGCCTCTGGGTCTTAAGATGAGTGCAGCCTTCTAGAGCATAGCTTGGGAGAAATCCCAGAGGCTTGCCTGGAAGCGAGACTCTGAGGGGGAGCTGAGAGTTCATCCCAACCACTACCAGGTACTGTCCTGGCAGGAGAATGCCCCCCCCAGGTGTTAGGAGTGACCCTGAGGCCTGGTTCAAGAAAAGAAGGCAAAGCACATCCAGGTGGCTTTCAATGGCGCCTCTATCCCCAGCCTGTAGGCAGTCTGCTAGCCATTGTGGCCCCCAACTTTGCAGCCATTCCTCATCTGTCCCAGTGTGGTGGCATCTTTGGCTTCAGACTGATACCTTAATTCCCTTAAAGGTGTCCACTAGAGACACAAGCGAGCCACTGTGTCCTCACGCCTGGTCCCTGCTGTCCCCATGGACATTGCCTTCCCTTGCCTGCCTTCCAAGGCTGAACGAGCCTGGCCTGTGGAAGGCCCTGATGGCATCCAGCTCTGTGGAAAGGTGCCTACATGCCCTGATGTCTCGACATGGCCCCACACTGTCCCCACACAGTCCTGTCCCCTGGGCCTAGAGCCCAGCCTGACTGTCAGATTTGTACTAGTGACCTGCTGAGCTCAGGAGGAAGCCTGTCTGGTGCTGTGTGAGGGACAGGGTGTAGGGGGAGCCACATACTCCTGCAGGAGGGTGGGGGGCGTCAGCATGCTTTGTACTCCTGGGTTCCCACCTGTTCCCTGGGCCCCCAGGGTTGTGGGGTCTGCAGAGCACAGCACTGTACTGATGTCACTGTGTGGTAATGCAGTGGTCTAACAACGCCTTCTGTCTTGCTTCCTCAAGCTGACGTCATCTCCACTGTCGAGTTCAACCACACTGGGGAACTGCTGGCCACAGGTGACAAGGGTGGCCGCGTGGTTATCTTCCAGCGGGAACCAGAGGTATGTGCGTGGAGGGGTCATGGAGGAGACAGGGAGAGGATGGGCAGATGGTTAGAGTGCAGGGGTGAGGGTGGCGTCAGGCAGACGTGGGTCTGGAAGGGTGCAGCCCATACTCCCAGCAGGATTTCTGACCCACCTTGCCTACATGTCCCACCTAGAGTTCCCTCACGGAGTCCTCTGTCACAAGGTCCCTGAGGCTGGAGGGAAAGGGGATGGGCCTGGCAGGTAGACTAGGTCAGCTTCTAAAGCTGCTCACTGAGGCCTCCCCACCCCCATTCAGCAGGAGTTTGCTGACAATGCTACAGTCCCCGACAAACCAACAAGCCCCCGGTAGAACCTCCCCTACATGTGTGAGGAGGGGGGACCCCACACCCACGCCATCCAGTTCTCTGCTGGCCTGACAGGTTTTGCTCAGACCTCCACCCTTCCAGCCAGTCTTCATCTGCTCCCCTGCCCTCCCCTATCACTGTGCAGCAGAATTCGGGATACAACAAGAACGACCTGAGACCATCCAGCGTAGGTCATTTGTCAAACCTTAAAGAACCGAGTGGTCCGAGGCCCCTCACGCATAAACTGAGAACCGACTTTATGCAGACACTGGGTTGAGCATTGCATATTCCATATGGCATAGATGCACACCCATTTACAGAGAGACCAATTAGCAGCAAGCCCCACGGAAACCTGCTCTTGGCTGTGTTGTCACATACAACGCCAGCAAGGGGACTCTCTCCACTGAATGTGTTGGGGATGAGAAACCAGGGAGGGGAGAAGGGAGAGGCTCAAGGGAGGCCGGGCTAGGGAGAGGAGCTGAAGCCGCCTTTGCCCTGAGTGTGGTTCCCATTAGCTCATGCAGCCTCACATCGCCACCCCACCGGGCAGAGAGCTGCTGTTATCCTTCATCTGGCAGCTGAAGAACCACAGCACCGAGGGCTTAAAATAGCTCACCAAGGGCAGGCCAGGGACAGCCTGATGCACACAGGTGTCACAAGACAGACTGTCCCACCAGGGCACACCAGAGTCAGCCATCGTTCTGCCCACTGCAAAGAGAAATGAGCTCAGAGGTTCTGGCTTTTCTCCTTTGGTTTGTCTCTTTCCTCTGGTCTTGCAGACCTTTTTTTTTTAAACAGCTAGTGCTCATGGGAAGAGGAGACATAACACGAGGAAGGATTTTCAAACAGATCCTAACACAAGACAGAGATGGAGACCTAAAAATAGACACTTTCAAAATGAACAGAAAAATCTGACGCTGGTCTTGCCTGGCTGTCACTTGTTCCCAGCTGTGATTTCATGTTGTCATAGAAACTTGACTTGTCTGCTAGAAAAGTAGACCCTGGTGTTTATGGCAGGTCTAACACTCAGTATTTGGGGGCTCTCCACCGACAAGGGGTTCATAGCAGGAGCTCTGCTGCCCACACTGGAATGGGAGCCTCCATGAGACGCAGGGTTAGGGCCTGACAGATGAGGGTAGATGGAGCCTTGGCATTGACATCTGGCCTCATTGGGGTGAATGGTGGCCACTTCATGGATACATGGGTGAGCCCTGGCCTCATAAGCATGAGGACCTAAGTCTGATCCCCAGAGCCCACATAAAAATATACATGCCTGTGATCCCAGTTTTGGGGAAGTAGAGACAGGCAGATCCCTAGGTCTTGCTGATCTAAGGACAATGAGAAACCCTGCCTCAAAGAGGGTGGACAGTGTTCTGATGACACTTAAGGTTGTCCCTTATCTCTGAATGCATGCTCACACACATGCATGCTTACACACATACATGCATGCACACCTAAATCCTTGTATACATGTATGTACCTGCACACACACCTGAATGTACACAAACACACATCCCTGCACATGTTTACCCCTGCACATACACTCACCCACACACACAGCCCTGTACACCCCACCCTATCCCCCACCTCTGCACCCACCCACCCTGTCACCCTGTGCACACAGCCCTGTACACACACACACACACACACACACACACACACACACACACGTACACCTGCATTAATAGCTTCCTTTGGTGGTGTTGATGGCACCCGCATACAAGGTGAATTCAGCCCCATCCCGTCTCGTGTCTACCTCCATCTGTCCTGGCTGCTCCTCTGGTTCAGTCTGCCTTTGGGTTTCCCTGCAGAGTAAGAACACACCTCACAGCCAGGGTGAGTATGACGTGTACAGCACCTTCCAGAGCCACGAGCCAGAGTTTGACTACCTGAAGAGCTTGGAAATAGAGGAGAAAATCAACAAGATCAAATGGCTCCCGCAGCAGAACGCCGCACACTCGCTGCTGTCTACCAACGGTGAGGCCCAGCGGCTATAGCTGGCCTGACCTGACTCGGGCTTCCAGTTTAATCTGTGGCTTTAGTGACAATCAGACCATTCTCTTTAGCTTTCCTGGGTGATCACAAATCTCCCCTCGTTGTGAATACAGTGGTCATGGATATTTCCAAGGTAGAGATGAGGTTGACTATTCCAGACAGCTGGGACCAGGGCCAGAAACCAGTGATTACCAGCTGCAAACTGAACTCCTACTCAGAGTCACAAATCACCCAGACTGGGGCTGCCCCCAGGGGTGGGTGGGATGGACAGATGTCTGGCCTTTGTCTCTCTGCTTAAAGACATGCTGTGTGACCTCAGAAAGGAGTTGCTACATGCCAGATCTGTCTGCTACCCCCAGATTGGGTCTAGGCCTCCCAGCTTCTGCTGGCCCGGGGCAGCCATCCAGGTCCAAGCTTGCTCTGGTATCCCTCCTTCCCCTCTGTACTCCAGGAGCCAGGGCCAGGAGTCTGCTGGGGCAGATGTGGGTCCAGCCTGCCTTGTGGACTGGGGCGTGTGGCCTTGCTCTCATTAGCCCCAGTTTGCCCACTGCCCAGGGGTTGACTCAGCTCCTTCTGGGGTTCTGAGGATGTATGGTATCCACTCAGTGCTCAGAGAATAGTAAGTGCTGTGTGAGCCTGAGGGAGGCTGGGAAGATGGCATCACCTGTGCCTTCCCTGATGAAGTCCTACTGCCGAGGGGGCCTCAAGGGCTTCCTGAGCAGATGGATAGTCACATGGAACCAGGAGCATGTAAAGATGACACTAAGCTTGTGTGTGTGCCCATGCATGCCCTATATCTTTACAAATAACTTCCTGCCATCCTGGAAGGAAGACCAGCCATGGGAGTCACATACTTCTTAGCCCCACAAAACTTCTAGACCAGCTTTATACCCCAATTTACAGAATACTGAAGACCCCTATTGAGAGCCCCATCCGAAACCAGTTTTCCATCCAGCTCCTTCCCGTGCTGACAGTATTGTTTCTTTTGACTGCTGAGGTTATCAGTGTTCTCTGGAGAAGCCAGACCTGTAAGGGAGGGACAGAGAGAGGAGAGAGGGAAAGGGAGAGACAGAAAGGGATTGTTAGGCCAGAAGGGCACAGTGTAAGCCTGGAGGGTGTCTGCTGAGAGTCCCTTCTTCCTGGGGAGGTGGGCTTCTGTTCTGTCAGGGCCTTCAGTAATAAACAAGATCCATCGTTTCCTGATGGCAGGCTGTCTGCTTGATGGATTTAAGTTTTAATTGCACCTGAGAGATCCTTCAGAGCAACAGCCAATGTGTTTTTGAACAGTGTCCATGCATAGCCAAGGCAAGCCATGGGATTACTGTCACCTATACTTCTTCCTGTGACATCCAAGAGAGGAGTGCAGAGAGGAGACACCCTGGAGCTGGCTTCTGGGAGGCAGGTATCACCGAGTTAGGAATGGCAGATAGACTACCCTCTTCTCAGGAAGGAACAGTGGTAGAGACCCAGTGTAGAGGTCAGTAGTGATCCCTGCAAGGACCATGCCCTTTGACCTGGCGACATCACCTGACAGTGACTAGGAAAGACAGACTGAGGACAGATGGCCCACACGCAGAGGTATTCTGTGTAAGGCATTGTGAGGGAGAACTTGACTGTGTGAGAACAGGGAACGGGATGGCATCACTGTCCCTCTGGCTAGAGCAAGTGTTCTCATACTGACCTGGCTGTGACAAGGTGCCTTGTTCTTCTCCATTCGGTTCTTAAAGATAAAACTATTAAATTATGGAAGATCACCGAACGAGACAAGAGGCCCGAGGGCTACAACCTGAAGGATGAGGAGGGGAAACTAAAAGACCTGTCCACGGTGACATCATTGCAGGTGAGCGTTAATAACAGCATGTTCCACATTTACGTTCTACCAAGCCATGAGATATTCTGGACCCTTGGAGCCAGGGTCAGGGCCATACTGTTGTGACTTTATTCCTGGGGTGATGAAGGAACATCTACTCATCCTACATGGGCAACCAATAACAGACCAAAGTACTGATACTACCAAGTCCATTCATTGGTGAACCAATGAGTTTGGTATTTACTTATTTATTTGTTTGTTTGTTTAAAATGTATTTATTTCTGTCTTTTGATGTTTTGAGAGGGGGTTTCTCTGTGTAACAGCTCAGACTGTCATGGAACTCTTTCTGAAGGCCAGGCTGGCCTCAAACTTACATAGATACGTCTACCTCTGTCTTCCAAGTGCTGGGGTTAAAGGTGTGCACCACCATGCCTGGCCAAACCAATGAGTTTTATTGAGGTTGCTTATAGGAGCTGAAATGAGTGATAAACAGCTACATCACTAAAGCCCACCCCAGCATGACGATAACTCACAAAAGTTGGGAACCTAGAGCACACTGCTCAGCCTGCAGCCAGCTTGACAGGTTGGCGTGTCCTTTCCAGGTAGCTCAAGCTGGTCTAAGTCTTATCCAGGCAGCTCGGCTGATCAGGTCACTGGTCTCTGCTTCTTTCAGGCCAATGGCCTGAGGTTTTTCTGAGCAGCTTGTTGGGGAGTGGTTCTTTTCAGTCTTTATTGCTTATATATTCTGGAAAGGGAGAGACTTAGTGAACCTGGTCAATTTCGGGGACTTCCTGAAGCCACACTTGTCCTGTAGTTACTGAGTCAAGCTCAGTGTGCCCTGAGCCCTGGCTGTTTTAGGGTGGAGGGAGCTAGGCTGTATCTTCTTTGGTGCCGTGAAGGACAGAGAGTGGCACTGTAGAGTTGTGCCAAAGTCGATGTTTGTCCTTAATTAAAAGGCATAAGGACTTGTATCCCCAGCAGAATGTGGAACTTGCAAGAAAGAGTTCTGGGGTCTGGGCTGCTTGCTCAGTGGTTAAGAGCACTTGCTGCTCTTGCAGAGGACCCGAGTTTGGCTCCCAGCACCTACATGGCAGCTTATAGCTGTCTGTAACTCTAGTTCTAGGGGATCTGATGCCCTCTTCTGACCTCCCTGGGTACCAGGCACACACATAGTGCGCATGCATAAATGCAGTCAAATGTTCATACACATAAACTATAAAAAGGATGAGAGAGAGAAGTGTGTGTGTGTGTATGTGTATGTGTGCGTGCGTGTGAGTGTGTGAGTGCTGGGCATCTTCAGTTCATGCAAGGTGGGTCAGGTTTACCTCCTGAGTCCCTTGTACAGCCCAGGAGACTTTGAAAAAATCCTCACAGTTAAGCAGCCATGTAGAGCATGCTGTGTTAGTAGGGCAGGTGAAGGACATTTGCCATCTCTGACCACTTATTTCACACCCTGCTCCTGAATGAGTGTTGCAGCCTCCCATTAAGATTGTGTGTTCTTTGCCAGGCAGTAATGGCACATACCTTTAATCCCAGCACTTGAGAGGCAGAAGCAGGGGGATTTCTATGAGTTTGAGGCCAGCCTGGTCTACAGAGCGAATTCCAGAACAGCCAAGCCTACACAGAGAAACCCTGTCTTGAAACAAAAAAAGATTGTGTGTCCCGTGATGTCTCCCTCCCCTTCCCCTGTGACTCTGGCTGCCTCTGCTCTGCAGGTCCCTGTGCTGAAGCCCATGGACCTGATGGTGGAGGTGAGCCCGAGGAGGATCTTTGCCAATGGCCACACCTACCACATCAACTCCATCTCGGTCAACAGTGACTGTGAGACATACATGTCGGCAGATGACCTACGCATCAACCTCTGGCATCTGGCCATCACTGATCGCAGCTTCAGTATCCTTGGCCTGACCTACAGGGAAGTGGCTTCGGGGTGGTATGTAAGCACACTGGCTTCTGGGACTTTAGTCTTGACAGCTTCCATACTGAAGAACCATCCCAATCAGGGTGTGAAGGAGGCCAGGTATGGGCCACAGTATTTATGAATTCTTTAAGGACACAGCTGCTGGGAAGCTCCATCACACCCCATGCCTCCTTAGAGTGGCAGTGGTCTCCATCACCTTGGTCCCCATAGGAGCCATGAAGGAGCAAGAGAGCTGGAGGTAACATGCCCTGGAGGAGAGGAGGCTGACCTCCTGGGACAGTGACCTAGAGTTTGCATCCCCTTGTGTTGGTCCAGTGTTGTGTCACTTTGGATGTAGAGTGACAACTGGGGTGTCAGAGACGTGGGTGTCAGACACTAGGCATAAATGGGGTCCTGATGTCAGAACAAGCTAAAGGCTGAGCACTGCCCCTCCCACAGCCTGCTAAGGAGAGGGCCACCTACAGGATGTGTGAGTATAGCTTGTACCAAGTTAGGAAGGGCAGGTTGCCACCATGTTACTGCTGTGTGGACTGTTAATGCCAGCCATACTAAGTGACATTTCATGTGCTGAGCTTTCACACAATAGGGTAGTCACCAGCCCCTTTGCAGTAAGGGACCTGAGTCATAGAGCTTGAGCTCATAGATGACAAGTATCTACTGGGAGAGAGTGAGGGTCAGGGATGGAATGGAGACAGTAAGAAAATGTTGACTTCATCGATCTGGGGTGTGTTGTAACTGTCTTTGGACCTAGATGGCCACGGGACATTAGAACAAGTCAGTTGTGTATGAGGAAAGAGAGTTGTTCACTCCAGCACCAAGACTTGTCCCTGTGTCACTGGCTTCCTGTTCCCATCTAGAATACAGGGGTTATGCTCATCCATGTTGAAGAGCACAGCATTGGCCAGCAGGTGTTTATCTAATACCCCCTGACATGCTTGAAGCTGGCACTAGGAGTCTCTAGTGACCAGTACTGGGGTCTGGGAGGCAGGCCAGTCTGTGTTGAACACTTTCTGCTATGGGCCATAAGCAGCAGGTTGGCGGAGAGGAAGTCAAGGTGGGCCTTTGCTATGTGAGTCTGTGGGCCTGGGCAGATGGCGTATGTGAAAGTGAGTGGGACTATTGGCTGGAAAACCTGGGCTGCTGAGGGAGAGTGGAAAGGGGAGCATGTCAGTGGACTCGTGGGACAAGGGAACTAATGTGTCTGCTGTGGAACTGTGTCCGACTTTGTGGCTCCAGTTTTGTGAAAGTGCCTGGTGAGCCGTTGACAAGAGGTGCCTGGCTTGTTCACTGGAGAAAGGGGTGTGTGTCACTTACTGAAGACCGGGATGTGGCTTAGGGAAACCTAGGATTTGAAGCAGCCGCCTCTCTGACTGACAGCTTAATCAGGGAGCCATGTTGCCTCCCTGTGGCCTGCTGGTGCCAGCCACAGAGTGATGAGAGTCAGACACCTGGAACAGAGCTCTGGGCTCATTCCCTGGAGGCGAGCCTCTCCTAGCAGAAAAGGGTCTGGGCTCTGGGCTGCAGGTGTTTCCACGGATCTGATGGCAGCTGAGTAATTGGAGATGTCTCACTTTTGGCATGGAGAGAGGTGTGTATGACCTCATGCTGACCTGGGATGGCTCTGAGCTTACGTGATACCCTCTGAGGGGGTGTGTGGTAGGGGGATGGAGTGGGGGGTAACCTGGAGGATTCTGGCTCATCCATCCTGGGGAGGAAGCTGAGGTCAGGGTTGGATGTGATACTGAGTACAGAGAGCTGCTCTTGTCAGCCTCTGCTCAAAGTCAGCATTTGGCTCCTGAGAGTGCTCTGTGTTCATCAGTGCTGGCTGGTGATCCTTGGTAACACTTCCCTCATCCCCTCCCCTAACTCTCAGACCTGTCTGTCCTCCAGGGACCCATGGGATCATGTTCCACCCTCTGCTGATTCCCCTCTTTCTCTTGGTCCCATGACCCTTTTTCCCATAAGCCTCTCTTACAGTTCCATGGCCCAGTCCCACCTATCCTTGCTGTGTCCCTCCTGGGCTGACAGGACCCCTCCTGGGTTCCATTTCCTCTGATTTTTTTTGGCTGCACAGGGATTCCTTTGACTGCCCCTCTGCCCACACAGTTTTTGGCTTGGAACCCAGGATGAGACCTCCCTGTGTCCTTGGCACTCCACAGCCCAGTGCAGAGGTACTGGGAGCATTTCCACACAGAGAAGTCAAGGGACTTTATGGTGCATAAGCCACCGCTTGCATGAGGGCTGGGGCTGTCACTTTCTTGCCTATTTGAGACCAAGGTGACTCAAACACCAGACCCTAAGGAGCTGGATGTTAGCCTGTGCCCCAGGGTCTGGAGCCTGGACTCTCCTTTTGCTTCCTCTCAGGGCCATGGGCTTCCAGGAAGGTGGATGAGCAAAGCCAGGTTCTCCTCAGGGGCCTGGAAACAGGCCAGCTAGTGTGCCATGCCTCTGCTCCTACCTGGAAGTGTTCCCTCAGCCTCACTCAGTCTGTTTAGACCACCTCATGTCAGGCAACCCCAGCACTAACAGTGTTGCATCCAGAAGACAGAGTTTTAAGAAATGGTTCACAGAGGGGGTCTTTTCACACAAAGGCGCCTTTCCAATCAAAGATTTCTCCTCAGGGACGCAAGATGCCGCTGACACTGCGCTGTGGCCCCCATTCCTGTGCTGAAACCCTGTCCAGAATCTCAGGATGAGGCTGTCTTGAGTCAGTGTCTTCAGGGGTTGTTAGCTCCAAATCAAGTCATCACAGGGGTCCACTGAGAAGTAAGTTCTGGAGGCTTCACCCACTGGCCTTTGGCATTGTGCTGTGGCAGCCAGGGGCTGGGCCTAGGGTGTGGCACGCTGTGCCTTGAGTGCCCTCAGTTCTTGTCTGCAGCCAGGTGGTCTGCTGAAGAAAATTTAGAGAGAAAAAACAATTCTTTTTTAGATCGTCTCTGTGTGCAGAAGGCCTTGGGGGCTCTCCACACAGGAGGCCCTTCTGCAGGGTTCTGGCAGAGCTGCCTTTCTCACTCCAGTCACTCCTTGGTTGCCATGACAACATCTTCTGGTCTTGAGAGCAGGCTCCTGGGAAGACATGTGGATGAGCCTCCTGCTTGCCGGGTGCAGTCTGTGGAGCCCAGGGCTTGCTCATCCTCTCTCATGAAACCTCCATTTGCATTTGGCATCCTCCACCTCATTGTTGAGTGACAGCCACAGCCACGACATCGGGGTCCTTGGTGTACTGAGGGTGCTGGAAGGCCTGCCCTGCCCTGATGTTTGGAAGCCAACTGGTTCCTCCACAGCTCCACATGTGGCTCTGGGTGTGCCCCTGCTTACCCCAGCCTCCCCGCTTTCTTCAGGGATGGGCTCCATGCTGTTCAGACCCAGGCTATTTCTGTGTCTGGAGGCCCAGTTCGTTGTTGCATTCTTACAGTCTCCGTGAATGCCCATGTGGTGGGGGTTGGTATTGGTCCTCTGTTCTCTGAGCTCACTTCTCCCTTGATACTTGGCTAGAGCAGGCCAGTGATTCTCCAGGTAGCAGTCCAGACTCAGTGGATGGATAGCAGAGGATTTCCTGTGAGGGAGGAGTGGCCCTCGGCCCCCACCGCTGCATAGTAAGGATGCCGAGACTCAGTGAATGGAAGCCATGGGACACACAGCCCCTCCTCTCCACCACTCACCAGTCCAAAGTGATAGAATGACTCAGGCTGAGCTTCCGGGAGATCGGGCAATGCCTTTGTCGACGGGAGATGAAGGACAGCCTATGAAAGCCCCTACACCCCGACAATGCTGCAGAGACCCGTGTGGCTCATGTTTCCTGTGTCCTTGACAGGAGGGGCCACAGATCTCATTGTGGGGCCAAACACAGCCTGGCTGTGCAGCAGCCTGGTGGTCTCTCACCCGACCCACAGCTCACACTGGAGTGAGCTCCGCCTGCCTTTCAGGGCTGTCCCTGGCGGTCTATTCTCTGCCATCTCTTCTAGTCCCTGGTATCCAGTGCTGTCCCCGTTACCGAGTCACTCAGTAAATGTCTCTGTGCCCCACCCCGACCTCTGCACCTGGCCACTCTTCCCTTCGTGTGTCTCTAATAAGGACACTTGGGTTGGATTCCAGGCCACCTGGGGAAGCCAGGAGTGCTGTCACCTCAGCACCCTCTCTTTTGTGTTGCTGTCCCCACTCCCCAGTCTCCAAGGGTCACATCCTTTGGGGAGCATCTTGCCTCATGGACACCCAGGTCAGTCCTGGAAAGGAAGCACTGTTTTCCAATCACATCCAAGCCCCCATTTTGCATATGGGGAAACTGAGGTTTGCGGATTCCCATGTGGCATAGCATATTCTAGAGATCCAAGTCCTGGCATCTAAATTGTGACCCAATCTCCAAAATTGTAGCCACCTGAGGGGTCATAGTTGAGGGTATCTGGAAGGCCCCACTGACATGGTGTGCAGAGAGGTGCGTTCCTCCCACAGTCACCCCCTTGTCGGGCGTCTCCGTCAGGTCCTTGTTTTAGGATGGATTCAGCGAATGGTATAAATTGTGATGAGCAATCTTGATTGCCTACTTGATTGGATTTAGAATCACCATGGAAACCAATCCCTGAGTATGTCTGTGAGGGGTTATTTAGATTAGGTTAGTAGAAGTGAGAGGGGGGACCCATCTCAAATGTAGGTGACACCATTCCCTGGGCTCCGGTCCTGGAAAGAATGAAAAGGACAAAGTCAGAATCTCCCACCCCTCAGTTTGTTTGAGACAAAGTCTCACTGTGTAGCCCTGGATAGCCTGGATCTCGCTATGTGGACCAAGCTGACCTCAAACTAACAGAGCCTACAGCTGCCTCCTGAGTGCTGGGATGTGCCACCAAGCTGGATCGTCCCCCTCCTCTCTTAAGAAAAATTGTTTATTCTTCTCTCATACAATATATCCTGACTGTAGCATCTGCTCCCTCCACTCCTCCAAGTTCCCTCCCACCTCCCTTCTCTCCAAGACCCACTCTCTTCCCCTGCCCCCTCAGAAAAGAGTAGGCTTCCCAGGGACATCAACCGAACACACAACAATAAGATACAAGAAGACCAGGCACAAACCCTTACATCAAGACTGGGCAGGGCAACCCAGTAGTAGCAAAAGGGTCCTAAAAGCAGGCAAAAGAATCAAAGACACCCCTATTCCCACTGTCAGGAGCACCACCCCAAGCACCAAGCCAACAACCACAACATATATTCAGAGAACCTAGCGCAGACCCATACAGACTCTGTTAATACAGCTTCAGTCTCTGTGAGCCCTGCTTGGTTGATTGCATGGGGCTGTGCTCTCCTAGTGTCCTCAGCCCTTCTAGCTCCCACAATTCCTTCTCCCCCTCTCCCATGGGGTTCCCTGGATTCGAGTGAGGGACCTGATGGAGGCCTCTGACCTAGGCTTTTGCTCTGTCTAATGTCTGGCTGTGGGTCTTTGCATCTGCTCCCATCATCTGCTGCAGGCAGTTTCTGATGACAACTGGACAAGGCACTGATCTGTGAGTAGAGCAGAACATTATTAGGAATCTTTTCATTGATTTTTTTTCTGTCAGTGGTATTTGGTTCTACCCTAGATCTCTAGGTTATCTAGTCTCCAGTTCCTGGCCATCCAGATAGTATTGGGAGTGGCCTCCCTCTCAAGGTGTGGGCCTCAAATTAGATCAGGCATTGGTTGGCCACTCCCACAACTTCTGAGCCACCATTGCCCCAGCAGACCTTGCAGGCAAGGCAGATTGTAGGTCAAGGGTTTTGTGGCTTAACTGGTGTCCCAGTCCCATCCCTGAAAGCCATGTGTGATTTCAAAAGATGGATGGTTCAGGCTCCATATCCTCCATTACTAGGTGTCCTCACTAGGGTCACCCTCATAGATCCCAGGGAGTTTCTGCTGCTCTAGGTTTCCACATAGAGCCCTAAATGCTCTCCAATTCCAGTCATCTCTCAGAGTACTCTTTTCCTCCATCCCCCAACCTATTCCCTCCTGTTCCCATCTGCCCCCGATCCACTCATGAAACCTATTTCCACCTCTTAGGAAGATTCATGCGTTCCTCTCTTGAGCTTAGCTTCTCTGGGTCTATGGATTGTAACGTGACTATCAAGTACTTAATAGTTAATATCTACCTTAAAGTCACATTTGTCTTTCTGGGTCTGGGTTACCTCACTTAGGATGATTTTTTTCTAGTTCCATCCATTTGCCTTCAAATTTTATGATGGCATTGAAAAAATAAACTGATGAGAATACTCTATTGGGTAAATGTACCACATTTTCTTTATCTATTCTTCAGTTGAGGACTAGGTTGTTTCCAGTTTCTGGCTGTTATGAATAGAGCCACTATAAACTTAGTTGAGTAAGTGTCCCTGTGGTAGGATGGAGCATCCTTTGGGTATATGCCCAAGAGTGGTATAACTGAGTCTTGAGGTAGATCAGTTCCCAGTGTTCTGAGGAACTGACATGTCGATTTCCACAGCGGCTGTACAAGTTTGCACCCCCACCAGCAGTGGAGGAGTGTTCCCCTTGCTCCACATCCTCGCCAGCATGAGCTGTCACTTGTGTTATTGATCTTAGACATTCTAACAGATGTAAGATGGAATCTCAAAGTAGTTTTGATTTGCATTTCCCTGGTGGCTAAGGATGTTGGACATTTAAGTGTTTCTCAGCTATTTGAGATTCCTTTATTGAGAATTCTCTGCTTAGCACTGTATCCCATTTTTAAATTGGACTGTTTGGTTTGTTGATGTCTAGTTTCTTGAGTTCTTTATATATTTTAGATAATAGCATTCTATCGGATGTGGGGTTAGTTAAAATCTTTTCTCATTCTACAGGCTGCCATTTTGTCTATTGATGGTGTCCTTTGCCTTGCAGAAGCATTTCAGTTTCATGAGGTCCCATTTATTAACTGTTGACCATGGTGTCTATGCTAGTAGTATTCTGTTCATGTTCCCCCCACCTCTTTTTTTGGTTTTTTGAGATAGGGTTTCTGTTTTGGAGGCTGTCCTGGAACTCACTCTGCAGACCATGCTGGCCTCAAACTCACAGAGATCCACCTGCCTCTGCCTTCCGAGTGCTGTGATGGATTAAAGGTGTGTACCACCAACGTCCGGCTCATGTTCCTCTCATAAGTTGTTTTGAAGCAATGAGAGATGTAAGTAGTTTACAGACCCTCAGTACTTAATAACGTCCAGCCAGGCAGTGACATTGGCCAGACCTTGAGCTCTATAACTTAGCTGGGCATCCACAGCCTGTAGTCCACCTTGCTGCCCAACAGATACTGACCAATCCTTAGGCTCCATGACCATGTACCAGATGGATGCCCATAGCTGGATGCTGTGGAATGCTCTTTTGCCCTGCAGGCAGAGACTGGGGTGTGACTCCAGGCCCCAGAATCCTCTCTTCTGTTCCCATCCAGCCCAGGTAAAACCATATCCCAGTATCCCTGTATTCCAGGTTCTGGAGTCAGTCTCCAAGGCATAGGTCAGAGCCGAGTGTGGGGTTGGCTCAGGTCAGAGAACATTTTTCCCACTGGAGAGTCATGATACTGTGGACAGAAGGGCAGTAGCTTCTGGGGCAACCTATACACATGGTCCAAGCACAGCTCAGAGGGGTGTGATGTGAAATTACTCACCAAAGTGCCCATGGCCCAGCATGTAGTGGGTGTGTCTATTCATCACCTCCTGAGTCTCCCTGACCACAGCCCCTGATGGAAGGAAAGGTTTGTTTGGGGTCACAGTTTGACCCAGGCAGGGAAGGCATGGTGGAGCAGCATAGTTCATGGTCATGGGAGTGCATGGCAGAGCCTGCTTACATTAGGGTAGCCCAGGGGATGGAGAGTAAGGCACGAACCAGGAGCAAGTGATAACTTTGAAGGCCTATCCTTAGTGACCCACTTCTAAAAGTCCCGTGGCCTCCCCAAACAGTAGCGACTAGAGGACAAGCATCTAGCACATGAGCCTGTGGGGTACAGCTCACTGTCACAGTACACACTAAGCACCCCTTCTGTTTGGCTACTGAGAGAGGAAAGTGGGCTGTTGGGAGAAGTCAGTGGTGACTGTAGGCACTCTTTTGTAAGAGGGTGTGGGTTCCGTTTGCAAGGCCAGTGGACAGATCCATGTGAATCTGTGGCTTGGGGCACTAGACACTGGTGTGTTTGTTTAGTGGTGTGTCTTAAAAACCAGAGAAGCCACTCAGACCTGGTTGGGTTTGGCGTGGGCCTTATGGAAGGGAGAGAGCAAAAGCACCCTCACTGTTGTCCTTGACCTCACCAACCCAGATATCGTTGACATCAAGCCAGCCAACATGGAAGACCTCACGGAGGTGATCACAGCATCTGAGTTCCATCCCCACCACTGCAACCTCTTTGTCTACAGCAGCAGCAAGGGCTCCCTGCGGCTCTGTGACATGCGGGCAGCTGCCCTGTGCGACAAGCACTCTAAGCGTAAGTCTGCACCAGAGTGGGTGGGTAGGGACTAGGTATATTGGGACTGGAAAGTGGGTGGGTATACCAGCATGGGCTGGGGGGGGGTTTCTAGCCACCAGCTACCTCCCTTCCCATAAGCACTCTGAAGGCTCCCTCGAGACAGAGTATGTAACCCTCACTCTCACCAGGGGGCATCTGGGAGGCCCAGGGAGTGACTAAGACAGCAATAGTCATTTCTGAAACCTTGGCAAAGTCTGCCACATTCTGTCTTGATAGTTACATTGCTCCGAGGGATCTACTGTAACCAAAGAGGAAACCCAGGCCTCAAGGCTTCAAACTGTGGTCCTTCCCCACAATACCCAGCCAGGCCCCAGCCGGGAAGATAGGGCTGTATTCCTCTGGTCCACCAACCAACTGTCATAGTGCCTGTGACAAAATCTGGAAACAAATGTGAACAAACAAATGGGTGATTCCAGTAGGTTCTAGACAGGTTTTCAAGAAGTGGAGGTGCAGACAGTCCAAGTTGTTGAGAGATGGAGTCTTGCTTCTCCACCAGAAGCCTGGTTCGCGGGGTAGTGGAGTCAAGGCTGAGCCTCCAGTTCCTTTCCCATTCCTTGACCAAGTTCTGTCCCCATGCCCATCCTCCAGGCTGGCCTATACTCCGCGTGTCAGGAGCACGCAGTAGGCACGGGTTCCCGTCATGGGATAGGTAGAGCACCCCCACCCAGGGATGGGGTAGTTAAGGGGCAGGGATGCCCTTACTCATAGGTCACCCGGGAACAGACACTCTGCTGAAGGTGAGTCATGGGAGGAGGGATCCACAGGGACAAATGCTTCAAGGTGGAAGCTCATCAAAGATGATGTGGGCAGATGGAAAGGACTGGACGGCATCATTGAGCAGGGCAGGGCAACTGGAGAGCCACATGGTCAAAGGGCAGCTGAGTTTATTCTAAGTATAACGGGTAGCCTTTTGGGGGATGGCAAGCAAGGGCTGGGAAGCGATGGTGTTGATGAGAATGAGGAGCAAACGCTGCAGAGAGAAGAGACAGCTGTGGGGAGGGACCACTTAGCCCCGCAAAGTGCATTCTAGAGGCGAAGCTGCTGGGCACACTGCCTGGAGGGTATGGATGGTCAGATGGCTTCTGGGTATGAATGTTGGGAGGGGTTGGGTCATATTCCAGATGGAGCGGAGTGGAGTGGGGCACACAGACCTGGTGGTGGATTTGGGGCTTAGTGACGGGATCTTCACCGGACTCCAGGGGCATGGAACAGTTCCTGGACAGAGGCTGGTAGTCACGGTCTTAACTGAGGTTGAAACTATGGGGTTATCAGCATGGCATGGTGTCACTGCTCTAGAGATGGTGAAACCTTGGAGGATAGAGCCGGTAAGTGAGGCAGACTAAAGTTTCATGCAATAGCCAGCTTCCTTCAGAGCCCCAGACAATTTATACTCCGAGGGTTAAGAGAGGTCATATGGGTAAAGTTCTCATGAATTCTTGTATACAAGCACAAGGACAAACCACATGTGGCAAGAACATGTTTTTCCACACAGGCATAAACATATAATTGAATAACAACAGCAAGCAATGAGTAATCCGAAGTAAACTCACTCCTATTCACTACACCTGGGAGGAGCAGGCAAACACATCCCAAGAACAATTCCATGTTTTCAAAAAACTGGGGTCACGAGACGCTCGTTTTCTTGGTGTGTTACACAGCGACCTTCAGGGGCCCCTTGCAGGGGATGTTATACACCTCACAATCTGCCTGCAGTGGCTTTCTGGAGTCCTGGTGCTAGCTTCCATGACCTCTCTACTCTCGAATATTTAATGCCTACAACACCAATACCCTGTGGCTGATGCTGCCGAGTTGCTGTCGGTGTGAGCCTGGCCTCCTGACCACAGCTGTATCAGATGCTGTGGGCTGACCCTGGCAGGGAGCAAGGCACCCCTTCAGCTGCACTCTCAGACACTTGGCACCCACATTCCAGCCTTTGATGAACGTGTCTTGCTCTTGGCATATTTTCTAGTTTCCCATTGTAAAGTTGGGACTTTCTCTATAACAATCCCAGCTTCCTTTCAGCTCCTGCCTTTTAGCTTCCTTGAACTCTTTTTTCTCCTTGACGAACTGCGCACATAATATCTTTATGCCCAAATTGTCACCCTCCCTCCCTCCGTCCCTCCCTCCCTCTGTCCCTCCCTCCCTCTGCCCCCCTTCTCTGTGGACCTGTATAAGTGCAGTAAACACTCATGCCAAGTCTAAATGCTTTTCTGTCTCGGAATGTCCTCCACCAAACAAACTAGTCCATGACCTCTAAACTCTGGACATTTACACATAAAGTCAGATTCTTTGCCAGAATCTACATGGATTTCCCCAGCCCACCCCCTGATGGAGCCCTTGTTCTCTCTCTGAAACTTCATGAGCATGGGCCTCTCCTGTCCAAATTTCTCTCTGCATTCTTCTCTTTCAAGCTCCCAGTAGAGTATTTTAAGCCCCGTTTTCAGTCTTTGAGGGCTTTTCCAGCCCAAAGCTATGAGCTCTCCCACATTTCTCCTTTAAACCACCAAGAGCCGAGTGGTCAGGGTTATCACAGCAATGGCTCCACTCCCTGGCTCCAGTTTTCTGGATTTGTGACATTTCCTGTTGCTGTGATAAAGCACCCACACAAAAGCAGCTCAAGAGAGAAAGGGCTCGAGTTGGCTCACAGGTCAAGGTTACAGTCTGTCGAGGCAGGGAAAGCGTGCAGCAGGAGCCCGAGTGAGTGTAGCAGACCCAAGCCATGAGCATGCTAGATAACACTCTGACAGCAAACCACCCCCTCTGCCACAACATCTTACACTCTGACGATGCTGCAAGGGCCACTGTCCCTGTCCTCTGGGTCTCACCCACAGTGTTTGCTGTCAGTGCTCACGATCTCAGTGCTCACGAGAAGCCGCGCAGCGGATTCCCAGTGACCAGGCGTGTCCTTGCTAATCAGCCATGATCGTTGTTCCAGCTGTATTTGTGTAAGAAGCTGGGGCTTTGGCTGCTGCTCTGCCTCCCGCTCCTAGGTTTAAAAGCCAGGGTGTGGCTGTCAGCGACTCCCCCAGGGTCCTGTCCACATCATCCTTTCCTAACAGGATGGTGCTGTAGCTTTCTTTTCGCTCAGCGAGGGGCACCGTGGGCCGCTGTGTACTCATGCCTGCCACTGGGCAAGTGAGGAAGCCAAAGGTCAAAGGAACACAGTAGCTCCTCAGACCTGTCTGAACCAGGCCAGGCTGGGGTACCCTGGCTGTCCTGTACTCCCATCCATGGCTTCAGCTCGCTCAGAAACACTAGAAGAAACCCAGGTTGCTGCCTGCTAGGCATTGTGGCAGGGTAACCATAGAAACAGCCATCCATAAGTCCTCAAAATAGACAGTTATTTCTGCTTTTGACAGCAGAGTCTATGAGAAGGAGGGGCTGAGCACTGAGTCTTCAGTTGGCTCAGAATGGGTGGGGATAAAGGTTCGCCGTCATGGGACTCTAGCAATGTGAATGGCCAAATGCTGGCGATCCCTGCAGCTAACAGTAGCTGAGCTGTTCAAGGATGGCACTCGATCCAATGCTCCGAGCCTCCCAGATGGAGCCCTGGGTGCCCCTTACCCAGCATGCGCCCCTCCTCTGCTTTCTCGAGTTATCACCCTGGAGCCACAAGAGAGCAGCTCTCTTCTCCGTGGCTTAAAACAACACGTGTGTTTTATACAGTTGCGGAGGTTGGAGATCTAGTCAGGGTGTGGTCAGGGCTAGCTTTCCTTTGTCCTTTTCAGCTGCTGAAGCCATCATACCTGTCAGCTCATGGTTGTCATTCCAGCCCCAAAGAGCCAGTGCAAATCTCCATTCCATCTCAAGACTGTCAGTGCAGTGGCCTTAACCAGCGTGGTGGGAAGAGGCCTCTCCAGCAGAGCGAGCCTGGGGACAGGAGAAGATGGGGCCAGTGGGACTCAGAAATGGGGGCCAGATCATGTCAGTTCCTGAGGGGCCACCACTAGGGACAGATTTCACTTTGTCTCCTGGGGATCGGTCACATGAGGCTCAGCAGGGGACGAACAGTTGCCAGACATTAGTCAGTGGGCGTTGGTACGTTCAGCTTATCATGCTTCCATCCCTTCTGGGCTGGGCCGCTGCTGGGGGTTTAATGCCTGTGCTGGGGTCAGAGAGGAGGGTGTGTAGTCTCCCTGTCTCCTGACATGGCCTTCCCTTCCCAGGGTGCCTGTTGTTCCCTCTCAGCCCATCCCTTGGCCCCCGAAACTCTGTGTACTGGGAAGGGCCCTCTGTGATGGGGCTGAGGAGGAGCAGCAGGATTGGGCCAGGCCCTGGAGTGGATTGCCTTTTTCCCTTGCTCTTGGCACAGCCTCCTGGGACAGCCTGTCCTGTTGGCTTCAGGGAGCAGAGCCTTGTGTCTCTCGCCCACTATGGAGCCCAGGACATCACGGGCACTGGGGTGGGCATGTTGACTAAGAAAGTACCTAGCAAGCCGGGCGGTGGTGGCGCACGCCTTTAATCCCAGCACTCGGGAGGCAGAGGCAGGCGGATCTCTGTGAGTTCGAGACCAAGCCTGGTCTACCGAGCGAGTTCCAGGACAGGTTCCTAAACAATACAGAGAAACCCTGTCTCGGAAAAAAAAAAAAAGAAAGAAAGTACCTAGCAGGGAAGTCAGAATGTCTTAAGATGGGTGTGGGGACTCTGGACAGGTTAGGGCAGCGATGACATGTGTGTTGGACAGGAGGGAAAGTCCCAGATGAGAGGCAGAAAGGGGTGGGGCCCAAGAGACGGAGCATGACATCCGTGATTCCCTAGGGGCCCACAGGAAGGATCTGTCCCAAGTCCCTTGGGAGCTGTGGCCAGCCCTCTTCTTCCAGAGCTGTCACTCAGTGGTTTCCTCAGGCTGGCTCTACAAGTTGGAGATGCTTAGACGATGGTTAGCTGCTAGCATGCATATCCCCCACCCCGCCCCTCGCCCTGTCTGCCCACAGAGTTCAAGAAGTTAATGCTAGCCCCACAGCAGTCCTGGTCCCCACCTGCTCTGCCACCAGGGTCACTTTGGGGCATGGCTGACTATAGGTGTCCACTGCTCATGCACAGGACACAGCTCCAGGCCTGAAGACCTGGGACCAGTTAATATCAGAACAATTATCAGGGTCCAGCCTAGAGTCTGCCAAGAACTTTTCAGGCTGGTATTCCACACTGCCAGTAGGGGGCAGCAGAGGGTTGCAGCTGTCATAGCGCTGGGTTCAAATAGCCCACTTTCATCTGCCGCTAAGATCTGCCCGTGGGTTTGCTCTCAGCCTCAGTTTTCCTGGATATAAAATGGGGGGTAATGAGGCTACCACCCTGAAGTTTTATTAGGGGATTGGATGACAGCATTCACAGTACAGTAAATACTCAATTAACACAGTTCCCACAAGAAGCCCTTCCAGGGCTTTTCCTCTGTGGAGGGTCCTTAGAGCATTTAGGGAAAGGTTCGGTGAATGAATGTATGACGGTACAGACACACGGCTTGGGCACAGTGGGCTGTGTTTCTGACGGACTTAAGCAAGGCAGCCCATGACAGCCGCCAGTTCTCTCTCCACAGTCTTTGAAGAGCCCGAGGACCCCAGCAACCGCTCCTTCTTCTCAGAGATCATCTCCTCGGTGTCGGACGTGAAGTTCAGCCACAGTGGGCGCTACATGCTCACGAGGGATTACCTCACGGTCAAGGTCTGGGACCTGAACATGGAGGCGAGGCCCATAGAGACCTACCAGGTGTGTGTAGAGGTCTGGCAGCCTCGGGGCCCTCTGTGAGGTGTGAGATCTCCCAGTAACACACCCCTTCCTTGTGCTGATGCCCCCACAGGGGGCCTGCCCAGCCACAGGGGCTTCCTAGGCTGCACTGTATGCATTGTAGCTGAAGCTGCAGAACGGCTCCGGTCCAGCCGTTGCATGGGGCTGACATCTGCATCTGGAACCCCAGTTCCTGGGGGAAGGAGAGGAGGAGGGGACAAAGGCGTGAAGTCACGCCTGAAGTCAGGGTGCAGATGCCACCCTCAGTACCCACAGCCTTATCTGGGTGCGAATTGTGTCCAGTGGTGGGGTGGAGGGTGTTTCTGGACCCCTGGGGTAGCCTTTTGAGCTAGTGTGCAGGGTGGATTGCTGGGCACTTCTGGGGGAACCTTTACTCCTCGTCTTGCCAGGTCTCTTAGTGGGGCACAGGCCAAAGCTGGCTTGCTGTTAAAATAGCACATGTGCAGTGTAGGTTGTTGGTGTCTGGCAAGGGCATAGGGCGGGGGCGGGAGGGGGAGGGCTGGGCAGGGCTTTCTGGAGGCAGCTACATTTGTGCTGGGTCTTGAAGGTCATCTGGAATTTGGATTGGCAGATACGGGCTCAAGCATGCCACCAGAAACCTCATCCTCACTCACAGGGCTGTGTGTGTGAGTCCACACATGCGCCTATCACCTGTTTTGTCCTGCCCCGGCCCACTCTACAGACAGGGACACTGGGAAATTGGAGAGTGACAGAGGATCTCAGCCCAGTGGTGGCAGGGCCAAAGCTCAACACTGCTTCCTCTCCTACCAGAGCTGAGGAGTTGTGTCCAAGAGGAAAAGCTTCTGGAAGGGAATTCTAGAAGCCCCATGATCCCGGGACATCTCCTATTGACCCAACTGCCCCTTTGTTGGCAGTGGGCATGGCCTGTGGCTCCCACCTTCGATAAGTCCTACCCTGTGTACTCTATAGGGACAGGCCCTCTTGTGTCCCCCTGAAAGTGTCAGCAGCCCAAGCTTGAGCTCAAGATATGAGGTAACTGAAGCACACCTGCCAGCCCCCTGGGGCATTGCAACACTGTGGTCAGCACAGACCTCTGTGTATGGATGTTTTCTTAGGGAGGGGTGAGGGTGGGGCCTCCTGGCCTCTGCAAGCTGTGGGGCCTGGGTGAACTGGCAGCATTACTGTTTGGGGGGCCAAGGGCTGAAGTTGGGTGCTGGGCTTTTTGTACAGCTGACCTATAGATTCTAAGTGGCAATGATTAATGACTACTCCCTCTTGTGCCTTTGGAGGTGACTTTTGTGCCCTGGAACTTGTGTGTAGTGGGACTGTGTTGGGTCAAGTTGCAGTACGTGACAAGTGTGAGCTGTTTCACTCCATCTAAGGAGTCTTGGAGTGGGATTGTCCCAAGTTTTCATCATCCTCAGCCCATGGCTCTGGAAGACATTGGGCCCATAGGCATGGAACATCCTTCATGACAGGCCCAGGAAGCCTGACACTCTCTTTCCTCAAAGCCGAAGCATCTCCTCTTGCCCCAAGGCTTGGCACACAGGAGAAACTGCCACACCTGTGCTTGGACCTGCTAATGACTTCTGTGCCTGGGCAAGGAAACAGGCACTTGAGAATCCCACCTTCTGGCAGGATTGGCAGCACCACGGGGCCCTTTGGTTTCGGCCAGTGTACTGCTGGGTGCTGGCCCCCAGGATCAGAGAGATATAGAGCCTTGGCTTCATCCTCTCAGGTGGGATCATGGTAATGGTGACGCAGCACAGCAGGGCTGTTAGCTAAAGTCTAGGGCAGGAGGAGTGGCCCCCAGACTGTAGCCAGCAGTGTCCGCTGCCTCACCAATGGCAGCCTTTACAGTCTCTGAGCTGTGAAGACCCCCTTTCCTCTGTAGATGCTGCTCCCTGGTACCGTCCCCATGTCCCGTTGCTCTGGGTCAGCTGTGTGTGCAGGGCTATGCCAAGACCATCCATCCTATGGAGGTGTCAGGGCCATTTGGTATCCATTACTCAACTTGTCCCCTCCTCTCACCAGGTCCATGACTACCTGCGGAGTAAGCTCTGCTCCCTGTATGAGAGTGACTGCATCTTTGACAAGTTTGAGTGCGCCTGGAATGGAAGTGACAGGTGAGCCAGCTGCAGGCCCATAGCCTCAGACACCCTGCCGTGCCCCTCACCCTCCGCCCCACGAGGGATCTTTCCTGCAGTCTGACCCGAAACTGCTCTTTTGCTAGGCCAAGGTGTGGGAGCTCTCCCTGGCAGGCAGAGCTCTCCGACTCAAGTTCAGGTCTGAGAAGTGAACTTTTCTTCACTCTGACTGATGCTGACACCCACTTTAACACCCTGTCCTAGGGTGCTGTGGGATCTTAGGTCAGGATCAGCTAGGCGCCTTCTACACCCCAGGCCCTCGGGTGAGGGCTGTACCCCAGTGTCTCCATCCCCAGGAGACAGAAAGGCATTGGGCCACCCACACTTTCCTCCTGCTGTTACTCTGGCAGCCTCACGCACGCCCTCTGGGGCTCATAATTGTAACTGGTGGCCTAGTTGTGACCCTCCTCTCCCACCACACAGCCAGAAACGCGGCCCCTAGGACACGGCACAGGCGCCTTGCTGTGTTGCCTGGAACCAGCACACTGGCCGGTTTGCATCATTCCCCTGCTGCACTGAGCCTGCCTCTGTGTGCCTTCCCCCGACAGCTCAGATCTGTTGGGGAGGGGACACTGCTTCCCCTGTCCCCACTCATGCTTTATTAGGCCCCACCGGCCCCAGGCTCAGTTAGGTACCTGTGACTTTTCAGTGTAGGGGCTGGTGGGTGAGTCTCTCAGGGCCCGTGGATGGACAGCCACATATCCTCCTGTCCGGATGAAGGAGAGAGGCTCCAGGTGACCAGGGAAGCATAGCACCTGGCATGCTTTTGTACCAGAGCCCTGAGTCACTGCCTCCCGCCCCATTTTCCGTCCCTCCATCGGCAGGTGACAAGTGGTGACATGAGAGCCTCACCCCAGAGTCCCCTCCATCCGGGGCGTGTGTCTGCACAGGTGGCATCTGCTTTGCCCTGTGCCTGGGTGGGCAGGATGCTTCAGGGCTTCCGAGGTGGCCTGTAAGAGTGGCTGTGCTCAGGCCGTAAGCAGTGGTGGTGATGACAGGGAAGGGACCACTCCTAAGAAGCCACTCTGAGCAGGCCTGGACCCACACAGGGGCTGCGGTCGTCCCAAGGGCCCACGTCTTTTGCAGGGCTCTTAACAGAACCGTACTGAACACAAGGCATGTGTGGTGGTCCAGGGTATCCACTGAAGGATAAGGCAGGATATTAGGGTAGATGGCTGAAGGCTACTACCCACTGCCTGCGCTTTTATGTTGCCACCAGGGGGCGCATGTAACCAGACTGTGCCTGGGCTCAGCATAAAACCCAGCAAGCCTCTGGCTGATAGGCCCAGCTCTGGGGCTTAGCAACCTACTTCTGCCTGACACCTCCCACCCCTCCTTTCCTTCCTCCACATCCACTCTCCCTGACCTGGGATCCTGCCGGAGCACATTCCACCTTAGCAAGCTCTGCTGTCTCCTCTCCAGGAAGCTGCCCCGGTGCTCCCTGGCTTGCCCCACAGCCTCCTGGGCCTTCTTCCTATATCTTGTTATTGTGAAATGACAAATGCTCATCGCCTCTGTACCTGCTTCCCCCACCATCACCGGCAGGAGGGACCTCAGGAGACTGTCCGTGGTTGTTCATATTTCTGGGTAGTAAAGAACAACCCATCTTTTCCTTCTGTCTCTGGCCTCCTCTGAGTTTGGTCTGTCTATGGACAGAGACCTCAGTGCCTGCATCCCGGGTACCCAAGGATAAGAGGAGAAACAAATTCCCCATCCCTTTGAGGCCAGTCTGAGGCCTGCAGTCTGCTCTGTTAGACTGATGGAAGGTTTATACCCTTTAATAAATGGGCCCCTGGGTGTTACTCTGTGACACTACAACTCTTGGTGGTACCGTCATGCCCTCCAGCATCTTTGACTGGGGGCACAGGATCCAGCTTTGTTTCTAGTCCTAATCTTTTATTCTCTGGCTAGGACCAGATGAATTCACGTGAGTCAGCCCTCTGGAAAGTGGCTCCATGTAGCCTTGTGCCAATGTCTTAGGCTGAATGACACACACCACACACACACACACACACACACACACACACACACACATACACACAAGGCGTTGGGTCCCTCTTGGCGGTGGTGATCTGCGCTCTGTGCACACAAGACTGGTGTAGGCCTATGTCTTCATTAGCTGCTGAAACCATTTGAATATTCCCTCCTCTGTGGAAATCAGTTCCTTCCCCCTAGAGCTTTTCCTCCTCCTCTGCTCCCCACAGCTTTTCCAGCCTCCCCAACCTCAAATCCTTCCTCTAGGCCCAGGCTTGCTGTCCAAATGCACCATGGAGATAAGCTACTCCATGCCTCACTAGACGAAGCCCGTGGAACAGAAGGCACGGGACAGAAGTCTGCTTCCAGGGTCCTCTTGGCTGCTATGGCATTTGCCTCACCCCATGTGATCCATAGCAGTGAGCATTCATTTATTCATTGGCTCAGCCACTCAGGTTGTGGAGGGGAGGTAGGCCCGGCAGGTTCGGAGGCTCTGGGGCAGCCACAGTTAAATCTTAGAGTCATCCCTGTCTCTACTGCCGCTGGGGCTACAAGCAAGGATTGCTTCTCTTAGGCTATGCCCAAATGACGGGTAGGTACCTTTAATGTTGGGGCAGGATGAAAGGGTCCTAAAGTGGAGATGGCAGCTGAGATATAAGAGGTGGCCAGGGACACCAACAGAAAGTTGGCAGAGAGGCAAACAAGGCTCCCTGTCCCAGGAGTAACAACCCGCAGCTCCAGACTGTCTCTGTCCCCTCTGTCTTCCCACACTGACCCCTCTTCCTCTCACCAGCGTCATCATGACAGGGGCCTACAACAACTTCTTCCGCATGTTCGACCGCAACACCAAGCGGGATGTGACGCTGGAGGCCTCTAGGGAGAGCAGCAAACCCAGGGCAGTGCTCAAGCCCCGGCGCGTGTGTGTGGGTGGCAAGCGACGGCGTGATGACATCAGTGTGGACAGCTTGGACTTCACCAAGAAGATCCTGCACACAGCCTGGCACCCGGCCGAGAACATCATTGCCATTGCAGCCACCAACAACCTGTACATCTTCCAGGATAAGGTCAATTCTGACATGCATTAGTTGGCCTCAGTGGCCCTCTCTGCCACCTCTGTGGGAGGGCAGGATGGTGGCCGTGGTGGGGACGTGAGTCCCTAGGCTACAGTCGCCTTGGATGGTAGTTGCCGGTTTAAACAAAGGAAAGGAAACAGCTTCAGTGGATAAGATGGATGAGCCTGGTGGGCCTCAGGCCAGGGATTACGGTCCTTCCGCCTCAGGCTGGGCCTTTGTTTATCGCCAGGACTAATTCACATCTGGGGTGATTTTTACTGCAGTGGGTCACTTCCTTTCTGGGATAGTCAAGCTGGTCCCTGACGGGACTTCAGAGAAAGAGCGAAGCCCCCAAGCCAGGAAAGACCTGTCCTCAAAGGAGCCAGCCATGCGGGCCATGGCTCAAAGCTGCTGGCTCGTGTTGGATTTTGGACAGTGCATTTTCGTTGAGCGCTGGCAGTGCCAGCTGCTCTCTGGGGAGTTTGGGATGTCGTTCTGTGTCCTAGGTGCCGGGCCGGGGCAGGTCCTGAGAGACAGAGCTGAAGTCCTAGGGTTAACCGTGAGGCAGGGCTAGGTTCCTTGTGTGGCTTTTCCAGGCTGGGGTGAGTCCTGAGAGGCAGGACTGGGGACCCTGTGTGGCTATAGCCCTTACCTCACTGCCATCCATTTGTGAGTGCCCACTGCACGCTGGGCATGGTGCTCAGTCCATAGTGGCTGTGGATGGATCCTCACAGCCCACTCTGTGGTTTTGCTGTCACTCTCCCATGCTAGCCTGTCATCTTCCCACAGTTGGCCGCGGGTCCTGTCCTTGACTGAGGCAGGTATCCGCTCATTTCCGTAAGTCCCAGCTGGAGCTGGGATGTAGTTTCCACCCCTTTGTACATAGGAGGAAGCTGAGACAGAGAAAGGGGGTTCCTAAGGAGCCACACCCTGAGGCTGAGTTGAGGTCCCTCGCAGGTCTTCCCACGGGTTCTTCCCCACCCTCCACGTTAGTTTTAAGCGGCATCCCAGTGGAAGGTTCTGCAAGGGAAGCATCCCCACCTTGTGAAGTCGGAGCAGGTGCCCTGGTGAGCGGATGACATGAGAGAGAAGATGGAGAGGAGCTACCGTGGCTCCCCACTCTGCCTGGTGGCACCCGGGCATGCCTCCCAGACGCTTCACCTACACGGTACCCGCAGCTTTCTCCTCATCCTCCCAGACGCTCCCCCAAGGAGGTTGCATGCAGCCAGGCAGCCCGGGAGGACATTCACTCGGACCTCCCCAGAGCCACAGGTCAGTGGCCATTCACGGTGACCCCTGCCCTATCCTCACTCCTGGAACCCCAGAACTGCAGGGTTTGACATTTTGACTCTGGAAGCAGAGAGCAGGGGGCTTTAGTTTTTACAACATGAGCTGCCACCCAGGAAACAGATGCAATGGAACTTTTTTTCCTCAGTGGATCAAGGTATCCTTGTGTGTGTAAAAGCACAAACCGCATGCACACTCACTTCTGGCCATGTATTTACACAGACACTGGCCCATTACATTTTCGTTTTATTTTCTTTTTTTAATCAACGTGAATGAAGAATGTTTATCCATCACTGTAAAATTCAGGCGCTCTGGACAGTATCATATGTACATATTGGCTCTGATTAAAGTGAGCAGTCAAAAGATCGGACGGCTTTCCCCTCTTGTAAAGAAGTTGAAGAATGTGGCCATTTGTACATAAATCCCATTGAAGCCAAAATCCAGGTGAGAGGCCTTACACACCGGCCTGGCTCTCTGGCACACCGGCCTGCCTTTGGGAGTTGCTTGCTGCTGTGAGACCACAGGTGTCAGATGTACCGTCTTCAGAGTCAAATCTCACACGGTCTTCAAAAGGAAGGGTCGTGCACACACCCCTAGTATCTAGATTTCTGTTTTAAATGTTGGGTACCAAAGTAGGAAGGAAGAAGAGAGACAGAAACAGATCTCAGAAGAAAAGCATGTCCTTGGGACCCCAGGAAGTCACCCAGGTCCAGAGCGACTGCGAATAGTATTGTATTGACAGAGGAAAAAGGTGCGGAGGGGGGAGGGGCAGTGCGAGAAACAGCAGGACTGGAGACAAGCCACAGACTCTGCCACCTTACTCTGCTTAAGTTCTCTGGTCTTGAATGTGTGGCATTCCCATAATCATCGAGACACTGCTGGGGTTTTGGGTTTGTCCCTTCTGCTTTGGTTGTTCCCTGAGGGCGAAGCCCTTGGAGGCTGTTGGGTTTGTATGTGCTGGTAACACAGTCAGGCCCAGTCATTTGGGGTTCTGTGGCTCATAGGTGCATTCTTTTCTTTCTTCGGTGTCTCACAAATTATCCAACTGTTGAATAAAATTATAAATATGTTAATACCAGCTTTTTCCAATAAAATAACAAATGTTACATCTAAGATGAGGCTCAGAAGGCTGCTGATTAGAGCTGACCTGGGAAGGGGAGCTAGTGAGGTGGGTGGGTAGGGAGGGAGCTAAGGGGGTGGGTAGGGAGGGGAGCTAGTGGGGTGGGTGGGTAGGGAGGGAGCTAAGGGGGTGGGTGGGTAGGGAGGGGAGCTAGTGGGGTGGGTGGGTAGGGAGGGAGCTAGTGGGGTGGGTGGGTAGGGAGGGAGCTAGTGAGGTGGGTGGGTAGGGAGGTAGCTAGTGGGGTGGGTGGGTAGGGAGGGAGCTAAGGGGGTGGGTGGGTAGGGAGGTAGCTAGTGGGGTGGGTGGGTAGGGAGGGAGCTAAGGGGGTGGGTGGGTAGGGAGGGAGCTAAGGGGGTGGGTGGGTAGGGAGGGAGCTAAGGGGGTGGGTGGGTAGGGAGGGGAGCTAGTGGGGTGGGTGAGGTAGGGAGGGAGCTAGTGGGGTGGATGGGTAGGGAGGGGAGCTAGTGGGGTGGGTGGGTAGGGAGGGAGCTAGTGGGGTGGGTGAGGTAGGGAGGGAGCTAGTGGGGTGGGTGGGTAGGGAGGGAGCTAAGGGGGTGGGTGAGGTAGGGAGGGAGCTAGTGGGGTGGGTGGGTAGGCAGTGGCTCCCATCAAGACTGGGCGACATCTAGCATCGTCTTTTTTTTTACCCTGATTCTAACTCAAGTGGAAGGTATAGTCAGTATGGACGACAACCCTACAGGTCTGGCATGTGCCTGTGGGAGGGGCCCTCAGATGGTGCCCGCATGTGTTTCATGACAGGTGGCCTGTATCCCTTTGTGGTAGGTGTGTATAACTCACCATAAACACAGGTAAGGAAACTGAGGCTCAAAGAGAAATATTAATCCAGTATTCCAGATGCAGGAGCTATCTGGGGCTGGCCTCAACTCTAGAGCCCCTTGGTGGCCCTCACCCTGCAGAGGCCTTGGGTTCTGGGAATGGACAGCCAGGTGGAGGAAGGCCATGCATGGACCGCTGGATTGTCAGGGAGTCATGGCTCCCCCGTCCCTGTAATCCCTGTAGCCCAGCCCCCACACAGTCAAGGCCTTTTAGACTCAGGAGGGAGGCATAAGTGTGACTAAGGCAGAGGTGGGAATCTGTTCACAGCCTTCAGGTCAGCATGGAGATGAGAAGGCCCCTTCTTGGCTGTGTGGCATTTGGCTAACCTCTGACCCACACGTGTAAACAGGGCCTCTGGGTGACTAACACGATAAAAGCTCCATCGTGGAACCTCCGTGCCCCTGAGCAGGCTGTGATACAGGATCGGCTAGCCTAGGCGCCATAGGATGTTTCTCAGAGAGTGTGGACGGAGTACTGTTACCACCCATTTCATATATGGAAACACTGAGGCTCAGAGGTGACTGCGCATCGTGTCTGAATTGGTAGAACTAGTAGCCGGTGGGTAAGGATTCAAACTATCACTGCCAAAGCGCTAGCACAGTGTGGATGCTCAGGTTGGCATCCGATACTGTGACCTCAGCCCACCAAGTATAACTTCAGCTACAGTGATGGAGCACCGTCGCTGGTGTCAGTGGCTGCTCCCATGGTCTTTGAGGTGGAGGGACTATCCCGGATGATCTAGGCGGTCCCGTCAGGTCTCCTGCGTTCTCCGTAGTGGAGGGCTATCCCACAGTGACATCAGGAAAGGTTCAGAGAGGCACACGAAGATGAGGCAGTCATGGCTGGCTGTAGAGGTGGAGGAGAAGCCACAGCCACACTAGGAGGCCTCTACTCCCTCACTGGCCTGGAGTTTGCCAATTCTGGTAGCTAGCCAGTGAGCCCCAGGGATCCTCCTGATGCCCCCATGGTGCCACCATGATTGGCTATTTCCCATGGGTTCCAGAAATCTATAACATTCCCACCTCCCTTCATAGACAGGATGCTCATAGCGGTCCCATGACTTGCCAGGTTGCACAGCACACAGCAGGCAGCAAGGGTGGGAACCTGATCCACCCTGACCACACCCTGACCACACCCAGGCCCTCCTGAAGGGAAAGAGGGTGGTGCTGTCCTGAAGAGTTGAGTGGCCAGAGGTGGGGAGGAATGGATCCCAGGGCCAGAACTTGAACAGCAGAGGCAGCTGCTCCCTGGACAGCAGACAGGCCCCCTGATACCCTGGGAGGAACTTTCCAGGCCTTCATGAAGCAGTGCTCAGGTTCAGGCTCAGGCTTTCAGAGTCTTTCAGCTGCCATCTGCCCTTTGGAAACAAACTTGCGTGTAAATCTCTCCACAGCCCTGTGAGCCCTGGGTGATCCCTGCACCTGTGAACCCCTTCACTCCGTGTCATCGGTAAGAATAGGGACTCCTCTGGGTCTGGGGAGATGGATCTGCCATCTGATGGATGCTGAACTTAAAACCCACGGGGGGAAAAAGCCAATCATGGTGGCACACGGTTGTAACCCTGGCATGGGGAAGGGGAGACAGGAGGATCTCTAGGGCTAGTTCCCACCCTGGACCAGCTACTGGAGTCACCAAGACCCAAGCCAATGAGAGACACTCAAAAAATAAAGTGGCAGTTCCTGAGGAACAATATCCAAGGCTGACCTCTGGCCATGACACGCACAGGCACACCTGTGCACGCGTGTGAGCACACACACACACATGCTGAATAAGGATGCCTTTGAGACACGTGCCGTATTAATGATTGCATAACTCAGTCTCCATGTTGTCCCATAGGAGATGGTAAGTTGTTAGGGGCTACTCACTGCCAGGTTGGTGCCAGGGTCAGCCCCCAGGGCCGCTGGTCAGAATGCCCATACTGTGCTCTGGACTTTCTAGCAGCATGGGGCCTGCAGGTGTGTCGGTGGATGTTTCTAGCCGCTGTGCAAACTTTTGCCGTGCCTGGAGGTATTGTAGTAGTGCCCACTGATGGAGACCCTAAGGGCCCGACCCCGCTGTGCTCCTTATTTCTTCTTATAGCGAGCCCACCCTTGGTTCTGTTAATCCTCACATTACAGAAATGAGGGACTTGAGGTCCAGAGAGGTCTAGGGACTGCTTATGGCCACACAGTAAAGGCAGAGGCCAGACTGGAACCTGGGTCTCTGACACCTATGCAGCCTCACATTCTAGAGCTGAGATGAGCTCGGGAGGGACATTCTTCCTGGTTCAGAACTTTGTTCTTTCTGCTCCAACACTTGCCAGCCACAGGGTGCTGCACAGCCAGCAGCACGACCCCAAGGGAGTGTTCCCATTTCTGTGGTATCTACTGGCTTCCCTTATCTGTACCCAAAAGGCTGCTGCACAGTGGCTGTGGCCACTCTGAGGAAAACCACTATTGCTGAAACACATATGTCTCCCCGGCAGAATCACAGAGAGAGAGAGAGAGAGAGGGAGGGAGGGAGGGAGGAAGAGAGAGAGAGAGAGAGGGAGGGAGGGAGGGAGGGAGGGAGGGAGGGACGGAGGGAGGGAGGGAGGAAGAGAGAGAGAGAGAGAGGGAGGGAGGGAGGGAGGGAGGGAGGGAGGGAGGGAGGGAGGAAGAGAGAGACAAAGAGCCAGAGAAACAGAGAGACAGACAGAGAGACAGAAGTAAACCCTGAGTACTCCAGGATGCTCCTGTCTTTGCCTCCCCAGCTCTGGGATTACGAGTCTATACCATCACACCCAGGTTGTCGTTTGTTTGTTTCATAGTGGTGCTGGGGACTGAACTCAGGTCCCCATGCTTACACAGCAAGCCCTTTGCTGACTGAGCCTACCCTTGGCCCCCATACCCGCCAAGTCCTAATCAATCAACCTTGTAGAGTCTGCAACCTAGATCTCCCCCCACCCCCCCGGGGGGAACTTTAGCTCACAGGGCACAAGGAATGCTTGTGGGAAGGCCACATCTGGCCTCAGCAGACAAAGCCCAGACCTCTGTCCCCACAAAGGGGGTGTCACAGCAGGAGGATAAGTGAGGGCCACACGGGTGAGGGCTTCCACATCTCTATACCGTAGCTTAGCCTCAGGATGTCTGAAAATTGCCAAGTCCTGGCAGGCAGGGAGGGATATTGCCTCCTTAAACTTCATTAAACAAACTAATCCAAGAGTGATGGAAACATGTGGAAAAACAAAATTTATTCAGGAAAAAAGGTGAGGTGCTCACCTTTGTTGATAGCCATGGGCTCAAAGCATTCAAGGCTCCTGGGGCGTATCAGCATTTACTGGGGTGCCGTGTGTGCAGTACCCATGGAGGCCAGCAGAGGGCCATCAGCGCTTCCAGCCAGTTGTGAGCCAGTGCTCTTAACACTGAGCCACCTCTCCACTCCAGACTTTGTGTGGACTTTTTTAGGGGTGAGGAAAAGAACCCGCAGGACTGTGACTGCTGCCTGGGGAGGGCTGGAGAGTCTATCCTTAGCTGCTGCTGTGTAAGCAGCATAAAGCCATGCCAATCAGCATCTCCCAGTTTGGGGCTCCAGGAATAGACAGGCCCCTGTCAGAGGAATCTGCGGTCAGGCTGCATTTTGAGTTGGGGGGGGTTACCTGGATGGAGGCTGTTCCGTTTGCTTGGGTGGCTGCTGGCCTGAGGGCTCCACCCATCAGCATGCAGGCCTCTCCATAGAGTCAGAGCCACTGTTGTGAGAGAAGCCTTGCTCAGAGCCGCCACCCCTTTAAAGGGTCTGCTCTTTTGTCACGTTCTGCTGCCCGGAGACCACCCCCACTGCACTGGAGCAGCTGCTGCAGGTGTGTGGAGACCATGGGCCATCATGGAGGCCACCCCAGGACCTCAGCAAGAAGAGACAAGCAATATGGCCTCAAGTTACCAGGCTCAGCCTGGGCCTTGGTGGCCACCCACCCTTAATGGGGCAATCATACACATAAACACAGTGAAAGCAGAGAAAGGGGGTTTGTTCACTGTGGCCGCACTGGAAAGAGGAGCAAAGACGTCTGGTGACACACACCCCCACGTCCTTTTTCAGGGCTGTGTCACGAAGTGAGTTTAAGTAGAGAGGAAGAGGTTTGCATAATTTAGCAGGCCTGGTCGAGGGGCGGTCCTGCCCATCATTGTCTCAGCTCCAGTAT